CCCCCCCCCCCACAAAAAAAAACAAACTAAATCTTGTTGTGTTTGTTGGTTCTTTTTTTTCTTCTCTCCCTATCTCAAATCTTGCTATTGGCCTTACAAATACATTTTTTGTCTTTTTCAAACAGTTAGCAACTTACCATATCACTCCAATTAACACAGACTCTCAAGATTCGACGGAACAAGCCATCAGCAAAATCACTAATACACTAATCAATACAACTCTAACAATTCAAATGGAAGTAAAAATTCTCTCCTTTCCATCTAGAGAAAAGAGAAAATTCTTCAGTCTACAGATAGACGCAATTACATGAAATTGAGATGAGATAACAGTTTTGCTAACCTCAATACATGATATGGCTGCATCTCTAACACCAGGATTAGGATCACTCAACATTTGCAGAATCTGACAATAGCAGCAAGAAGAAGGATGTTTACATAATTGGATCCAGAAAAGGTTACTAATGTCCTATGACAACATACAAAAAAGCTTCATCGGCATTCCTGCTGATTAACATACAGGAGGAAGAATGGCCCGTTGAAGGGGCAGCTCAGTTGCTGAAAAAAGACCAATTGCTGATGTAACAGTTCGAGCAAATTCTTCTCGAACTCTGAAGCTTTTGTGCATCCAAGCATAAGACCCTGCCCTCTCAACAATGATAGTTGGTGAAGAAACCTGTAGAACATATACATTAATCAACCAAATAGATTTCCAGTTTTTTTCCCTAACAAACTAGCAGAAATGAGTAATTTTTTTAATATTTGACATGTGAAATTATCTCATGCTGGTTGTAACTGCTCTAACAAAAAATATTCACATCTGAGAGTAAATAAAATTATTGCTCAAAAGATCCCCTTGTAGAATAAGTGTTCAATTTGATAAGAGTCTTATTTACATCTCTGTGACAATCAAAAATAATGTGCTGCCTTGTGAGGAAAAAAAAGAGCACCCAAATTATATATCTTCACACGCTGAATTAGTTTCAAATTTTTTGATGACTGAGAAATCCACGAGAGCCAGTGGCACACTGTTTGATATTCAGTGGATAATGGGTCCACGCCTCAACTCTTCTCCACTTAAATACCAGGCTAAATTAGTTTTACATAATAGCAACAAATGCGATAAGTTTGTTGTTTTGTATTACTGATACTTTTTAGATTGATCATATGTTTGGTCAAAGTAAACATGCCAAAAAACTTAATCATTACTGATGTTCTGCATAATTTTCAGTTACAGAATGGTAAACTATAATCTTGCACTATTATCACTCTTTTCATCCCTGAAAGTGTGCATGTGCATACAGTAGGACCAACGCACACATAACAAGCACATCGCATATTTTGGAGAAAATCTGAAAATACTAGACATGCCCTAATCAACTGAACTTCATTATTCGTCGCTAGCAAACAATTGAGTCATATAAATCATTTCTTTATTATTCACTCATTCTGATCAAAGATTCCAATCGTTCAACCACCTTCCAACCATCCTTATCCCCCAAAACAATAAGAAAATTAGAAGGGGAAAAAAAGGAAATATTCAACCAGCATTTCGAGTTTGAACCAACAATACAACTCCGCCACAATCGGGGTTTAGCTATATGAATCCTCTATATTCATTCCGCGTCAGCATAAAGCAAGATTTAAGGGTTCTCCTAAACTAGAGATTCTCCAAATCTCACACTTTATCCCTGTACTGCAATACAAATCTCTAACCAATCCAATTTATCCAAAAATTCGAAAGAAAAAAAAAAGAATATGCTCACATTAAGTACAGTACCAAATAAAATTTAGCAAAGAAACTCACTTCAATTAGAGTAGAGTTACAGTAAAATGAAGAGTAAGTAAGTGCGTTCTCATGCTAGAGTTACCTGCATCAAAGTAAGCAACAATCGTCTAGCCGCATCTCTAACGGGCTGCTTCGAATCGCCTAATCTTTCAACGACGGCAGGTACAAGTGCATTGAAGTGAAGCTTCAAGTGTTCACCGGAGAGTACAGCGGCGGAATCGAGCGATTGTAAAGCACCCTGAGAGACCCTAAAGTTGTTGTCTTTCAGAAGATCTAAGCAAACATCCACAAGAGAAGTGACTTCCGAAGAAGAGAGGCTCTTTCTAGATGCTTCGAGAAGTTGGTGGAGTCGTTCTACGCCCGCCATTCTCTCCTTCGTGTCCTTGGCACGTGCCAATTCCAGTGCCTCCTCCATTGCCAGTGTAACTAGAGCTCCGATCTGGTTCGACGAGGGTCAGATCTGCGTGTGGATTTGGGAGGAAATGGGCGTATGAAAAATGGAGGAAAAAAGTGACAGAGGAGAGTGTGAACTGTATGGGAAAAGAGGAAAGAGAGTGTTTTTAGAATTTGTATGAAAAATTGGGGGGCTATTTTGCTATATTGACGGAAGAGAGGATATAGTAATCTGTGTGGTTGGAACCGACGACGGTTGATAAAAATTTCTTGTACCCAATCAACCTTTGACGGTGTGATAGTGGCTCAATGCCTTGGGACAAAAATTTACTACACTGTGATTTCACATTAAACAATGCAAAATTACTTTAAAAGAAGTGTTTGTTCACTAATATTTTTATTAGTTGTTACTGTAGTTAAATACGTCTTCCATAATGTTTGTTACTAAAGAGACATTAATTTTTCCTTATAATTGCAATTCACGTAAGTAAATTTCTGTCGACTTCTTTTTTATGGAAGTTTCTCTCGACTACTCACATATTTCGAGACATACAATCACTAATTGCATTTAAAGAAGTGGTTAGTTTAATTTAACGGAAAGGGCCAAGAATGCCCTTAACGTATTAGAAATTATTCAAAAATATTCTTCTTTTACCCATGGGTTCAAATTTGTCCTTAATGTTATTTTTAGGCTTAAAATGATCCTTTCTTAACGGAAAGATGACATGACATTGATGAGCATTTTAATTAAACATGTACCATTTATTTAGTCCAGAAAAAAGTAAATTTTTTTTATTAAAAACTGAAAAAAACGAAAATATTTTTTTTTTAGTTTTTACAAAAAAACTACTTTAAAATATTTTCTAAAACAATATTTTTGTAAAAACAGAAAAACAAAACTGAAAAGTAATTTTCTAAAGCAATGTTTTGTAAAAGCCGAAAAAGAAGAGGAAATATTTTTTTTACTAAAAACTGGAAAAAGACGAAAATATTTTTTTCCAGTTTTTACAAAAAAAAATGCTTTAAAAAAAGCTGAAAAATATTTTCTAAAACAATATTTTTGTAAAAATTGAAAAAAAAAACTGAAAAGTAATTTTCTAAAGCAATATTTTTGTAAAAACTGAAAAATATTTCCTCTTCTTTTTCAGCTTTTACAAAAACATTGCTTTAGAAAATTGCTTTTCAGTTTTGTTTTCAGTGTTTACAAAAATATTGTTTTAGAAAATATTTTTCAACTTTTTTTAAAGCAGTTTTTTGGTAAAAACTGGAAAAAAAAAATATTTTTGTTTTTTTCAGTTTTTAGTAAAAAAAATAATATTTCCTCTTCTTTTTCAGCTTTTAAAAAATATTTCTTTAGAAAATTATTTTTCAGTTATTTTTTTCAGTTTTTACAAAAATATTGTTTTAGAAAATATTATTCAGCTTTTTTTAAAGCAGTTTTTTTGTTAAAACTGGAAAAAAATCATTTTTTTCAGTTTTTAGTAAAAACAAAATCACTTTTTTCCGGACTAAATAAATGCTACATGTTTAATTAAAATGTCCATCAATGCCATGTCATCTTTCCGTTAAGAGAAGGGCATTTTTAAGCCTACAAAATAACATTAAGGACAAATTTGAACTCATAGGGGGAATGAGGGCATTTTTGAGCCATTTCTAATACGTTAAGGGCATTCTTGGCCATTTTCCGTTAATTTAATCGAATTCCCATTCCTTTTTTACTGTCAAAAAATATTTTTATGATGTGGCAAACTTAAACGATAATTCATAAGTTTATCAATGTAATTCATGCGTAGACAAAGCTGGGAAAATATTTTTTTTGGTACATTAAAAAAAACTAGGCAAGTATTTGAGTGTTTGACATTAAACTGGTTAAGACATTAACAGATTATGTGTACAAGCTGAGTATATATGCTTTAATTAAAATATAAGCGATAAATTATTTATCAGTAGCTTGCAAGATTAATTAATTAGAATAAGATGGAGACAAAAACCTACTTCATACATACTATAAATTATTGCATATAAAAAGTAACCTCTATATATAGTAAACTCCACTAAATTGCATTCCATTTTTCATCTAGATAAGTAATCTTTTTTTAATGACAATAAAATTTAGAAGAAAATGGTACTCCTAGTACTTACAAGTTACAACAAGTTGCATTAATTCACCTATGAAAGATTGATCGAATAATTATAATAGCTAGATCATAAACCAAAAGTTGATTAGATTTTGAAAAAGTTAAATTCACAATTTTTTTTCTTCCTAACTAGTCTCAATCATCCGATGTTTTTTTCTTTTACTGATTGTCAATTAAATTATAAAAAGCTAGAGAAGGTAATAACATATTCTTTATAAAGATTATTTTCAAACTTCTTGATACATAATATGGACTTGTCCAATCTTGTTTGAATAAGCTCAAAAAACTTGATGGAATACACGTGAACCTCAAAATTAGAAACAAGATTGAAATATTTGATCCAATAATTATCTCGATCAATATAGTTTGAAAAGCAAATCACATGTAGCTTTCCAAAATGACAATCGCAAAATACTTAAGATCACTAGTAGAAAAACATTAAATTCCGACCGAAAATTTCTGACGGAAAAAAGTTGTCGGAAATTTTAGACATAAATAATCAGAAAAATTTTAAAAATAGTTACATTTTTATTAAATAACTTCGACCATGTTTCCGACAATAGTGGTGGCACAGCTTGGCGCTAAAATCCGCGAACCAAATTTCCGATTGAATTCGCCTCTATTTAAAAGTCAAAAAATTTATCGTTGACCGTATTTGTGACCGAATCGATCGCAAAAACTAAAAAAAAATTACTTTGCGACCGATTCGGTCGGAAAATTTAAACGTATTAAAAATAATTATTAATGTTCCGACCAAAACGATCGGAAATTTGTTTTAAAAACCCTATGCTCGCGACCCATTTATTTCTTTCTCTTCTTTTCTTTTTCTCTTTTCTTTCTTCTTCACCCACCCCAGCAACCCCCGTCCCTCCATCCCTCGTGCCTCCTCCGGTCACTCAGGTACGTCTCTCTCTCCCTCTCTCCTCCCTCCGTCCATCTTTTTTTTACATAGTGATTTTTTCTTTCAATTTTTCAGTGAATCGGCCGCGATTTCACCTTCTTCGACGCAATTACTTTCTCTTCTCCGGTGTTTTTTCCGGCTAGGTAAGCAATTTATTTGTAAGATTTTTTCTTTTTACTTTGAAGTTTTAGCAAGTTTAGAACTTCATTATTTGACTTGATATTTTTAGGTAAATTTGGAAATTTGTTTTGTATGGTTTGTTTTAATTGTTATTGTGAGGATTTGTGGTTGATATTTGAGTTCCATTTGATAAGTTTCGGCTTGGTTTGGATCGAACAAGCAAAAGATTCGCAAATTCAAGGTTAATTCTCTAAACTTGAAATTGAATTTCAAGTCAATATTTTAATCTTGATTTTACGATTTTGCATTAGTTATTTTTTTTTCTTGTTTAATTTGATTTGACGCATACTACAAGTGTAGATGATGAGTGCACTTATTGTTTTGGTTAAACCAAATGTATATAAGTAATTTTTCATGTCTACTTTTTGATTAGATGACCATTTTAATTCTTTATTATAAGGTATTCACATATGTTAATTGAATAGCTCAATCTTTGTTGTCAAACTTAATTATTTCTTGACATGTTTGAAAATAATAGTGATTGCCTCAATTGTATAAGAACAAAGTGACAAATGACAATCTTTCTTAAAATCCATTAGTACTTGTAAATGCAAAAAGCTAGCTTGTGAAGGAGTAAAAATAATATATTGGTAGCTTAAGTCAATAGAAATTCAAATGCATCTTATACTAAGCCTAGAAGCGCCACACTTTAGTCTTTTTGTTTTCATTTCTTTAAAACGTTAGCGATGTGTACACGGACTTTATGAATATATAACAAGCTATTCAAATTTAATTGGTATAGTCAAAGACTTACATTTTAGAATAGGGATTAATGTGAGAGTTCGAGTATTAGATGATTTTATTTTAGAAGAATATAACGTATTAATTAAAGTGCTTTGGGATAATGATAAGTATATTTTAAAAAGGAACCTTTGAAAGAAGATAACTTATTTAATTAATTTAAATAAACTAAATTATTTTAAATATCTCAATTCTAATTTTCTCTTTGTGATAGAGAATTGTAATTTAGATATAATATATTACTTAAAGTGGCAAATAATAAGTAAATTTAAAAAGGGAACCTTCGAATTGGCGTAACCTATTAATTACTTTAAATAAACTAAATAATTTTATATATCTTATAAATTTCCAAGTTTTTTTGTTTGTGTAGATGGAATTCGGGCATCGTAGATGGTTGTATAATAGAAATCATCCTAATCGTACGGGGTTGCGGGATGAATTTATATATTTAATGAATGTTTATTTTACATATAATGCAGGTTTTAGTCATTCTTTCAGGCCACATATATGGTTGTGGAAGCTATGAAGCCATTTTTCCATGAGCCGTGAAATTTCTCGAGAGAGAGATTCCATACCAAATCAGATTAAATATGTGATTTTAATTTAAGGTACGAATAAATATAATTTATATAATATTTATTGTGTTCGTCTAACATTTATTTTAATGGCAGCCTAAGTGTGTATGGCAGCCTAAGCATGAAAATCTGGTGATTAAAAATTTCGAGAAGAGACCTTGGAAAAGGATTAAAGATACTCACTTTGTTGCTTAGAAAGGTGGGAACATGCCTTTGTGGTTGCGTGAAGATATCTAGAATCAACTTTTGGCGAAGTGGAATACCAAAGAATGGAAGCAGAGGAGTGAAAAGGCGAAGGCAATTATAGCCTCTAGTAAGGGTGGCTCGTTGCACACCTGAGGTTCAATCAGTTTTGTGGCCCATTGATTGAGATTGGTAAGTTATTTATAAAAGTTTACTTAGCTTTACTTATATGAGATTCAAGTAATAAACTTATATTTTGGATTTTGAAAGGAAAAGGCATATGGGGGGGGGGGTGTCTCA